AAAGTGGTGCCCTACTCATTAGTGATCGTCTTTCCCAAGATCAAACGTTACTAATCCCTGATATTTGAGCATTCAGTGCGTTTACTTTTGACGATCTAGATCTGTCCTGAACCTTTCCTATATACTGCAAAAGTAATGAAAGAAGGAAAAAATCCGTAAGTTGAAAGCTGTTTTAAGCTTTACATTATATGCGTGGATACAGCATTATTTCGTGGTTTATTGCTTTATACATCGATCAAAGTTATTGCCTATTTTACACATTTAACCAGGAACAAGTTTGTAACTTACTTAGTTTTGTGAATAACTGATGAACTGTTGGAAGCAGCTGGAGAAAGTTAATTACAACGCTAGTAAAAATTATCTTTAATGTAGAAATATTCTACTATCAAAACTTTTTCTAGGAGGTAAAATTCTAATATCTTTTAAAAAATTAGCACTGGATTTAAAAGCTTTAATTCAACGATAAGCGACTGTGTCATAAACGCGAATATAATTATTGGATTTAAGTGTAAACAAAAAATTGAAACGAAAAGTCTAGTCTCTTGTTGAGACTAAAACGACCAAACATTGCTTTTCTAAAGATAAACAATTACATATGAAGAGACAACATGTCTAAGTCTCCTTGACCACTAAGGAAAAATTTCAAGGATTATTTCTGAAAAGAAAGGAAAATGTTGCTTTTGATCGAATGAGATGCGTTACGTGAGAGGGTTTAGAAAAAAGAAACCGCAAAAAAAAAATCATTCACCCACCAGAATTTATGCCGTGACTCAAGGGAAGATCTATTGCCTAAGAATCACATTAGGAAGAGCTTGTCTAATACGAACAGAAAACATTTGAATATAGGTCTTGAAAATTTGTACTCCTACGCAAAGATTCTTTTTACCTAAATTTCGGTTTTACTTCACGGGCGTAAAATATTTTAGAACAGTTTGATAGTTGTAAGATTGTTAACAAATCATTACTAATAATAACCTTGAGAAGATTATATTTTGTGTTGTTCGTCCGATCTTGCCTTGAAACCACATTTCTAACCGACATTTCTAAGTTATCAATAATTTACAACTGGTAAAAGTTTACTACAACATATGCAAATATCGGGAGCTTAAGTTTGAGTGTTTTTATAAGTGGTTTTGTGTTTCCTCTTAAACAATGCACCTTCTATTTTTTAAGAAACCCGCTAAGAGTAATTTTAAGTCAAAGAAAAATAAATTGAACGATTCCCAACGGAAAGGTCAGTTTAAGTTTGTTTTTGGTTGATACAGCTAGCTGACTTCACAATTTGTAATTTACCCAAATAAATGGCGAAGTTGGTTCCGTGTTTGTCGGAACAAGCTTCCTGTAGTCGCCTATATGTTTTTACCTATATTCACTCAGGCTAGATTTACTGATACAACAGTACTAGTTCGATATTTGCTAGGCAACGGCACTGAAAATTAATGGGGTGCAAATGTATTCCCGGAGTTTAGAGTGTCATCTTGAAAAGTTAGTTTTGATTCTTTCGCTATGCACGTCTCTTTAAAACTGGACAAAAATTTTGCACCAAATTTACTCCCACACTTTCATTATCCCCGCGGCAAAACATTCAATCATTCAACGAAGTGACGCAGAGTTTAATATTAAACATTAAAATAAACACCAATGCCACTTTTCTTGCAAGATTATAAAAAACTCACCACACACTGTACTAAAGCCAGTGAATGATCACAATTAACCGGAAGATACGGAAATGGACATAATTTTACTCAGAAAATAAGTGTAGGTACGTGTCCACCATTTTCTTTGGTTTACCCCAGCTTTTCCGTTAAGCTGAAATTTCGAGAAGTTGTCAAACCCAGTAGACCAAGGTTCTTAAAAGGCACAAATATTAAGGAAAAAGCAGCAAAATGTCGAGAAGGATACATCACCTCCGATAGTGACGTTTTCTTCGAAGTCCAGTCCTTTTCTAGTCTCCATGTACATCAGGTAGCAATTGACAACTTTTTTCCTGTCCTTTTCACTTGTATTAAGAAGAAACGTTTGTTAGAACTGGGGCGTTGTTGTGAAGTTACGAAGTGCAAAGAAATGTTAAAAGTTAGAAATGTTAGAAGTGTTAAGAAATGATGCATTGGGAAGAAGGGGGTGTAACTTTCATACACATAGCTACGTGCTGTTGTGACACAATGCCACGCTATCGTGATATAAAATTCTAAGCCTTTGGCAGCATGTTGAACCCGGAAAGGAAGGAGGGAAGGGCGATTTTAAAAGAAATTTTACCTTTTTATTTAACTTCCGAAAAATGGTACTCTTGCCACATACCTACAGTGGACTGCATCGCTTTAAAAACTTGAATAAATCAGCTGTTAGTCTGTTCGTCTACTTCCCTTTCAATACACGACTCTCATTTGGCTCCAACACGCATGCAATCTATGATCAAAATGCTTTTAAAGCAAACTTGTGATATTTGAAACGGACATGTTTCATTTAATTCATACGACAAGGGTGGTCAAAAAGAATTTGCGGAGTTTGTTTTTTGCACGACACAGCATAAATTCTACAAGAATCATTAATTTACAAACGGTCATTAAGCTTATTTAGGTGGAACACTTGAGCTGTTTGGATTATTAATTACTTTTGATAAAATATTGTCTTCTAACCAGAGAGTGAATGTTTTATATACATGTACATAGTGCTTTATAGGTAAAGAACTATAAATAAAGTTTATTTCTATCAGGTGAGACCAAATTCACATTTTATTTTACGTCTTCTCGCCTTAAAAAAACCCTAGCGAGTCGAGGGCTATTCTGATATAGATGTTTCTGTCCTTCGGACTTTAGTCATTACAAACATCTTAATAACTTCATTGCACTAAAAAGAATCGTTAAATAAGAGGATACAAATTTCTCACAAAATGGCGAGTCGCTAAGGTTTAGAATCGCAAACCATGCGCTTTGTCAGACGTCTTCTACGAGTACGCATCAAGCGATCTCCTGACCTCAGTGGGGAGTCGGAAAGTAAAATCTTTCCAGCGTCTAAAAATATCCATAAATAGATACCATGGCCAGTAAAACAATTCATTTGGTGAGCAAATCGAGTGATTTCCAGCAGGAAACAACTTCCATTTGAATCCGTAGCTGCGCTCTGGTCAGGCAAATGTTTCTCTTCTCGCGAAATACCCTGATCAGCGGAATTACCACCAAAAAAAAGATAACTACTCTTCGCTTCACTGACCGAGCGAGTGGATAATTTCTTCCTCAAATAACTGCTATAACTCATTCTAGCTACGCAACTCTCGTTAAATTGTCGAATCCTTTAAAATAACCTTGAAGCTAAAAATGTCCTCTACTCTAAACTGAAAGTTTCCTTGCGACAAAAATCCTAGTTGTGTGAATGAAACTGCTAGAGCTGGGCGAGAATGCTTAATAACGATCGAAAGTTCATTTAGCATTATCTCCCACTGACAGCTACGTGACTTAGCCCTTGGGGGGCATAAGATTTGGCGCCTAGCATAATTACATAATCATTTTATTTTCAATGCAAATTAACCGCCTGGAGATGTTTTTAAGCTTTGGCCCTTTTGACAGCTGTGAATTAGAGAGACGTTTTCAAATAGAAGCGGTAAAATGCGAATTAGTTGCCTTAATGTGGCGCATTCGTTTATTTCGCAAGAAGCTAAACTGTTAATTGAAAGATAATGGTTAGTGTTATTTTTTCTTTGTAGTTTGGCGTAATTTTAGTCGGAAGACCCCAAACAGTCATTTCGTCTACCGAATGACCGCAAATATCAAAATATCTCTTACTAGTGTCATTAATGTATTACCGTGTTGTAATCGATGTAAAGGTTTTGATTTAGATAACTTATGCAGAGGCTTTACAATATGGTCCATCCATAATTTCGGCACGTTTGGCTCCGATTTGTCGTTGAAATATCATCGATTAAACACAAGACAGGTGGTGTGATTGATCAGTTGCAAATGCGTGAATATTTCAAAGTTCTTCGTCGATAGTTCGAAAGTTCGGGCTGTTAGCGAACTAAACCTGAGCGCGCGCGAGCACTTCCACGCTTATCACAGCTCGGGAAGAACTTCCTACTGTCTCGGGATCGTTCAAATCTATTCGATGTAAGTAAAAATCATGATTTTGTGGAGCAGATTATATGGATGACAGCAAGTGCAAATTATTTTTTCTTTTAATATCCTCCTTCCCAGCGATTTTTGTTCTGTACTTAGCTGTCTGTTAGTCTGTTGGGAAGGGGTCGAACGCCTTAACTGAAAATTAGGATAGGTACTACACTTAAAAGAGGTTTAAACTATGAATTGTTATTTTGCCTTCACCTGGCAACAACAACAGGACTGTCTCTGCATAATTCAGATAGGCACTGTTAAAAAGGAAACTTTGCAATGCGCACTGTTTTAATTTTGATTTTGAACAAGTGTAAAGCAATGAACAATTTTATTTCCATGCAACTGGGCACTAAATGACGATATTCGTGAGAAGCCATATAGAAAGTCCTCCTTTGTTAGCTCAGTCTTGCAAAATGCAATTTTGTACAGCGGTTGTCAAATCTCTTTTTTCTCATAAAGGAATACGACAGACAGTGATATAGATTGAATATGCTAAACAGCGAATCATTTAGAACATATGCTAATCCATATTTTTTTTATTAACAAAACAAATTATTTTCATGTGAATGTGAAAAGAAATTAAAAGAAAGAAAATCAGAATGATGTTTTGATCGGTAGGGTGAAAGGACGTTATTTCATTTGTGGCGTTTTCAGTTCAAAGGGAAGCTTGCTGTATTTCTAAAAGGGTAAATACTTTTCACAAACAACAAACATTTTCACGTTTGCGGACTTAAAACTTTGATTATTTTCCTGAAGGTAAAAGTCGGGATCAAGCAGATGAATCAGCTTTCCTGTTTTCATTTACGAATACAGCCGCGAGCAAAAATCGAATGTAATGGTCACATTTATAACTGAATAAGCATCTACTCCGTTTTCATGTCATGCTTTCTATTTCAGATCTTTCCGAGAGTCAAGAGCATTCATATAAAGGTAGAGTATTTCTCAACTTATACCTAACCTTTTTCTTAACCAAGATGCTCTCATTATCTCTCCATAATATAACACTTTGTTTAACTGTTTAGTTTTCTATAAATATAAATATCTGTAGAGCTAAATAACGTAGATGCTATGGGATTTCTTTTATTATGACAATATTTTTTGATATTGAAGTTATCCTTTCAAAGAGTAGGATTCATTTACATAATTTCTTCTCTGTGTATATAATTTTCACAAAAAATATGAACATGATGATCCATTTGTTTCTATTTTGGCAACGCAAACTGGGGACTTAGGTTTTATTTGGTCTTTCTTTTGTAAACAAATTAAACTCTTTTCCCGAAATTGATTTTAGGTTTTTTTCACCTGTCAAAGTTTTATCATCCTCTTGGGAAACAATGAAATCTATTAAAAGTTCCAAGAAAGATGGCTTCAAATTGGTTCTTTTCAATCTAGGCGGAATATTAAAAGAGTGGACAAAACTTGGGATATATATAAACGAGACCTGTAGATATGATACATTCTGAAACACTTGCAAAGGCTACATGTACAACTTTTTGCTTAAAGTTACTCTTCAAGAAAAAATTATTTATATCCATGGAATATCCAAAATGTCAATTATAAATTTTTAAACAATCTAATCTGTTACGAAGTTTTATGACTCCTGCGTTGTAGTTAATTTTTTTCCCACTAAAATATGTTAAACATTTTTTTCTGTTCACACGGTTGGAAACAATTAATTGCTAACGTTCATCATTTGAAATAAAACAAGGACAATTTCCCGAAAGAAATATTTAATAAAATTCTTATTCAACCCTCAATTAAATGACTGTAAGGTAATAATTGCAATGTCTTTAGGCAGTTATTCCAGCACTACCAACCTCAACACAAGTCATTATTCAAATTACTTTATTTTATTATTGCCGATGACAATAACAATCAAAATTAATCAAAGTTTAAAGAAACAAATCACACAGCCGCGCGGGTGCTGGCACACAGTAAGTCGTGATTAAAAAAGCGAGAAGTGACATTGTTAAAGTAGATTCAACTTCAAGGGAACAAGTTTGGTCTGTCCTTTTCATGTCTGTCATTGTTAAAATGGAGGAGGGGAATTGCCCTGCAACTGGAAAGTGACAACACAGGCACAAACGATGTAAAGTAGGAAATATATTATCCACAGAACTGAAGTCAACGCGATCAACTGGCATGCAACTAAAATCAGTAAGATTAACTTCAAATCTAGCATAGCGGTTTCTTCTGACAAGCAAATCCTGATATGGGAAGTACGTGCTGATGTGTTCATGTGTTTCAAGGTGTGATATTATTAAACTTCCTGGGAAGCAATTTGAATGAAGATCGTGAAATAACTATTAACTATTATCGCCGCAGAGATGGAGATGACAGTTTTTTTTTTTTTTACATTATTCGGCATTAATTATTTCTGGCTTTCTGATGGGATTTGTTTTTCTTTTCCCTCCACTTAATTTAGCAACAATCCTTTCAAGTAAATATAATTGTTCATAAAGTAAGGTTGACTCTAGGAAAAAGTGAAATTTGAAAAGTCAAAATTCAAGATGGCGGACAAGGTTATTTCTTTCCATAAGGATCGTTTGTAGTCGTCTTGCTCGATATACCATGTTATTTTAATAAGATAAATATATTCAAAGGAACTTAACGTAGCAGATCCAAGATGGCGGATTTTTACCCATGTGCTGAGTCATAACGACGTCATATATGTTGCTAATGACAGCAAAAGTGCAGCAGACGTCACAATTTATCAAAAACTTTGCAGTTGAAGATTTTTTTGTTATACATCCACATTTGATGGAAATATTAGTAAAAGACAGCTTTGGCCAACAAATTCAAATACGCAAGTCCCAATGATGTAAAATTACATCATAAAGACGGCAAAGTATCTGAAGTCAATAGAGTTTATGTCTGCAATATCCAGTGCTATTTTGGTGAAAATAGCATAAGCTAAGTTACAGGATCCACAAATCCAGACTAAATAGGGTTAAAAACAAATACCGTCGAACATGGAGAAAAAAAGTAAAGAAGCAAGTTGCTAAAATTGATGGTATTGCTTGAACAGAGTGAGTAAAAGGACAATAAAAACAACAAATACAAAAACAAACTAAAACAAAAATGTTGTTGCACTTAGAAAGTTATTTTCCTGGTAGGCATTTATTCTACATCTCCCTGTAGAACGGCTAATTAGGAATAAGCTACCAAGTTAAAGTGCCTGGTTTTGCAGTGGAAGTGCTATATAAAGACAGACAAAATCAAAAATAAAATCTTAATCGCGTAGTTTGTCCCTATTATATGAAAGGAGGACAGTCGTGTGTTCTCTCTCTTCACCCTCTTAACATTAAGTCTGTCTGTGCACTGAGCGTTCTTAAGCGTTAACCCTGTTCAGATCGCAGGACAGTACATGCTCGGAGGCTCTCGCTATCTTTGAAGGCTTGCAACTTCAAAAGTATTAACTCAATGAACTCCAAATTTGGCGAAGTATCCCTGAAGTTCTCTGCAGATAATTTGGTACGACAAGTTATTGGTCTGGGAACTTGATGTTTTCATGGCAACAATATTTTGACTGGCGTGGGTTTTTTTTCAATGTTTGGCCTGATAATCAATTTTGCTGTTTTTAATGAGGAAATTCTTGCAGTGTCTTTTGCTCCTTTTTAGTTAACAGCCTCGTTTATATGTTCTGACTATTTTTGAGCCATTTTTTGTGCTTTCTTAACTTGTTAATAGAAATCCTAAAATCCAAGATGGCGGATCTAGTTTGGTAGCTGTTCGAAAATGATGGCGTCATTCCCACGTCATATGACGTCGTAGATCCATGCAATGGACATCTAAGCAAAGTTTTTAAGAGTACCACGAATGTTCGAAGTTTGAATTCATTGCCAGAGCTTTAATTCTCTACGAGATACCCAGTGAGGTCCATACATTCCTCCCGGTCCCACCAAACCAAAGAAAAGCCCACTCTGAATAGGGTTAAAGATTGGTTTTGTAGGTCGGAAACACTTAACTCATATATTGTTTTGTTTGCTTTATTTCAATAATGAAAAACAAATCGACTGTTTCGTGTTTGCCTTGTCTGGTGAAAACTCTTGTGAAAGTTTGGCCACGTTCAAGTACTTCTCGGATTTACTTAAGCTTTCGAATTTTTCTAGTCTTTTCTAACATTTTCATCAATTTATGTAAACACGCGGGCCATATTTCATTTCATATTGATATGTTATTTTGTCTATTTCTTAATAATTTTTTTTTTTAATTTATATCTAAAAGCCGACGATAGAAAATTCTCGACAGATCGTATTAAAATGATGACACTTTCTACTCATTTGTATTCCTCTTTTGAAATTTTTTTCAACCTTTCCTCTTACTGTGTTTCGTGTAAGGTGGATTTTACGCATTTTTCCCAGACGTTCTGGAAAAAAGCCACTTTCAAGTAAGACTACATCATAACAGATTAGAATTTAAACTGGCTATTAGGGAAATGACTAAGGTCTGAAAATTAATTTACATACGTGACGTTCCCCACTCACATTTCAATATTTAATTCATAACCATGTTTATGTCAAAATGATCTGGCTATGTGGAAAAAATCGCTTTTGAACAATACTATATACTTTTTTAAAAAAGTACAGTAACTTACAAGCAAAACAAAATCCATCCTGATCTTGGCAGGAATACTGTAGTGTCGAGCAGCTAGGAAATAAACGCTGAAATTGTATGAATTTTCAGAAACTCTATTATTCGAATTGTAGAGCCATCTTGAAGTGTACAGATGAATCCAGCTGCCTGTCCTCATTATGTCGAGAGTAGGTGTAAGTGTCTAAATGCTTGTTTACGACGAAACGCAATTTAAAAGGCTCATTAACACGTGATTTGTGACAAAACGTCTGCCAACTTCCAGAATCACTGCGAAGAATGGATGTTCATTTATTTTGCATTTGTTCATCTCAATATAATGGGGCACGGAAGAATTATGGCTTAATATTTTGTCTAACAAGACTACCTGCGTTAAAAGAGCTGCGATTCAAAAAAAGCTATTAGTAATTTACGATCAGAGCGGAGAAAAAAAACTTTCGTTTTGAGCAATATGATCAACCGCACGAAACTGCATGACGCGGAGGACTGCCTTTTCGTCAGAATAGTACGTTGGATAGCCGTACGTCTACGATAATACGTCTTCAATATTCAAACTTATTCGAAGGTTTGTATAGCCTTGAGTATGCTAAACTAAGGATAATCCAAAGATTTAATTACACAAAGGAACTCTAAAGTTCATTTGTAATCGTCTAGAGACTTTTCGATTTTACACACAACTATCTATTTCAAACATTTGAGAAGCTGAGCTACATTTTTTCACCGAAATCTGACAATATTACTCCATCACCTCCATTATGTTTGGCATATTTATTAAGATACTCGGTATTTTGGCCACGTCCAGACTACGCCGGGGAAATTTCAAATCGCAGCTTTATTTCTACGGTTAGGCCTAACGTCCACACTAATCCGTCACGAAATCAGAGCTTTTCGCAAACGCTCTTCAGACTGGAGGAATTTAAAAACGGAGGCTCTGCGCTTAGATGTGGACAGAAAACGGTTTGAAAACGGAGCTTTCCGAAAACTATGTCGTCACTTCCCCGCCAGAGTTTTCCTTAAACACAAATCCAAAATGACCGGTGATTGTTGCATTTTCCAATTTCTCCAGCGTGCTGTACACGGAAAACATTTGATGCTTTAAGTCATTGCAGAATCGGTGAACGCTCAACCCCAAAGAACACGCTTTTTTTTTTTTTTTCGGTAGCTTTGTAATTGTTTTTGTTTTTTTTTAACCCACCACAGAAAACGCTTCTTTTTGCGGAATATTTTTCAAGGTGGAATAAATTTTCTGGTGCGTTTTCCCAAACACCCGCCACCGTTGTTTTGTCAAAACCGCGTCAAAAACAGCATGCATTTGACGATTTTCAAAACGCAACTTCAATCGACTGGCGAACAAAGCGTGCTGTTGCTTAGCGACGGTTATAATATGCACGTGAGTAATATCCTCTTGAAATGGAACAGCAGGGGTGCTTTGTAATTTCCAATCGACCAAAGTTACGATTTAGTTTTCGGACATTTCCAGTTCTGGAAAAGAGGACAACCTCGTAAGGTATGCCCAAATGTTTGAAGGTTGAGAAGATTTTGCGGTCGGAAATCCCGAAAATACGAATGGATCGCACTTCGGAAATTCAACAATTGTCAGATTTTCTGGAAATTTTTCTGTACTGCCATTTATCGTCGTTTTCAAAGTTTCGGAATTTTTGTTCGAATGGAAGAGACCCTAACACTTGAATTTCTTTAAAAGAGGTCTTTCAATTTTAAAGTGAAAGCATATTTATTCATCGTTAACACTTTTCCAAGTAAACAAATGGAAATTATAAGGCACTTCAAGGGGTACCAACAAAAAACAAGAACACCAGTGGTGTAAAACCGAAATAACTACTCCTTGTTTCAACGCCATGCGACAAACTTTAATATCCAGAAAATAATTATCGAGTTACCCTCTTTTGTCTGTTGGTAAACAAGTCTCTCAGTGTGAGTTGGTTTCTCGGAAACTGTGGCCTATTTTAACACAGACCACAAGGAGAGGTGCGAAGTAATTAAACCAAACAATTAAAGCTAAAATTATTACATTCGCAGATAAAATTTATATTTTTACTTTAAGCAGCAAATCAATCGAGTTTTTTCCTTGGACGTTTTGTCTAGTTTCGTTTTTTTTTTTTATTCTTCTCAATGACATATAGGTAATAACTGTTTTCCATCACGTACAAGTGATGAAAATAAATGGAAATTCTGCATCAATATTGCATGTGTTATTAGATGACAGAAAACGTATAACAGCTTGTCGGTTTGAGATCAGTCTGTAAATAGTAAACGATGCAAAATAAAACAGCAGTGAAAAATTGAAAATTATCTCTGTAAGCTGTAGCAAGAAAAAAAAGGAAACCAAAAAAGCTGCTTAGACACCACACTGCGAATTAAAACCATGAAATAATTTTCGATTAAAGACCCGCCGAGTTTCTTTATTAATTTTACCATTAATAACAATGCATCAGAAGTTGCGAGTGGCTTTGAAAAAACTCTCTCTAAAATGTCCCTAGCTAGTCAGGGTTTTTAATTTATGTTTATGTTTCTTTTATTAGAAATAACAGAAACACGCGGCGCAAATGTGCTTTTTGGCGTATTCTTATTTCCACCCATAGGAATGGTGCTTTTAAGTTAATGTTTATTTTTACTGCATAGTAATTACATACACCTAGTAATTTTTGTGTTAAAGTTTGTTTTGTAGAAAAGAATGGACTGAAGCACAGTTAGCTAGTCAGTATCAGAAACAATTATTCACAGCCTTTTGAGTTTCGAACAGCAACACAATTTCCCTTAGCTGATTAATCTGCGTGCCTTAGACTTTGTAGTTATGACGACATCAACTCGCAAATTGCATTCCCACGTGATATGAAGCATGGCCTGGTTCAGTCAATCACAATTACATTGTAATAAACGGTTGAAGATCCCCGTTGGAGCCTATCTTGAACTTCTGCCTTATCAAACATTAGCTGAGTGTTTCTATTATAGCGTTTGATGCGATTTTTTTCACATTGCCTTCTCCTGTTTTGTTACTTTGCAAGGGCCCCTTTTTGGCCTCCAACAAAATGACGATTTGCGGATGTAAGCCAAGTTGGACGCTTATATTATGCATCTTCGTGGCGCTGTGTTCCAGCACTGTCTACTGCAAACCTAGGTAAGAGGTATAGGCACTTTTTGGAGCATTCTCATGATCTATTACTTTACTGTAATCTCTCTTTAGGTTAAAAGGAAGGTAGCGTGGAATGAAATGTGATCATTTCTATGTCTACCTCGTAGACTTAATTGCGAAAAACATTAACAGAACTTGCACTTCTAAAGCACAGCGATGCAAAAAAAGCCGAGTTTGTCCCATTTTCTTTAGCTGCAGTCCCCAGTTGTTTATGTTACAACGATTTTCTAAGCTCCGCTCAAACCATAGTTGCTCAAACTCTCCTTTAACTCCTGTATTTTTGGCTACTGATATGAATCGTACGGCGACGCTGTCATTACATCTCACACAATGTGCTTTTTAATTAGTTATAGAACAGCTATTGTTTACTCAAGGATGCTTCAAACCTGCAATTAACTAATAACTATCGTTTCTTTCTTTTTGTTTGCCGCACTAACGTTTTTATCACTCAGTCATCCTCGGCTTCCGTTTTAGTTGTTCTTAAAGAAAAAAAAATGAAAACAACAACAAAGACAAAAAAAAACAAAACAAAAAAAAAAA